TTTAAGGGACCCACTTGTACTTTTTTTTCCAACATAGACTTGTTTGTCCTTTTGATCTAGTTATGAGGATTTCAGTCTTCTTGATATTGAGTTTTAATCCTAATCAAGACTACTATACTGGATCTTCATCAGCAAGTGCCTCAAATCTTCCTCACTTTCAGCTAGCAAGGTTGTGTCATCTGCATATCTCAGGTTGTTAATAAAACCTCCTTCAATCCCAATGCCTTCTCCTTCTTCATATAATCTAGTTTCTCAAATGATATGCTCAACATATAGATTGCAGTCTATGGTTTTATTCATCACGTACATCAAGTCCTCCTCCCTTCCACCTAGAAGATTGTGTCATATGCATATTACAAGTTGTTGTTTTTGCTTACTAACAGCCTGCAATGTGCATATGATGCAACCTTGTTGTGAAATGCAGGAGGATTTGATACACTTGGTGATAAAAACCAAAGCCTACGGTCTTCAGTATGGATTGCAAAACAATATAAAGAAAACCAAAATCATCAGAAATAACCCAGTAATTAATATCGTGGTCCATGGAAGCATTAGCTAAAAAATATCTAATCATGGATTGCATTTGGTAAATCTGCTACTTAAGACCTCTTTGAAATGTTGATAAGGAAGGATGTCACTTGGCAAATTAAGGCATATCTAACCCAAGCCATGGAAATTTCACTTGCCTCTTATTCTTGTGGAAGTGAATAAGGAGAGAATGTAAGGAAGACTACAGAAGAATTAATGTATTTAAATCATGATGTTGGTAAAAATATCAGAATTACACTGGACTTCCAAAAGAACCAAGAAATCAGTATTGGAAGGAATACAGCAACATTGCTTCTTAGAAGCAAGAATGGCAATATTTCATCCCATGTGCTTTGAAGATGTTATTAGTAAAGACCAGTCCAAGAACAAAGACATCATGCTTGGTAAACCAGAGTGTCATTGTATAAGAAGACCCTGGAGGAGCTATATAGATACAGTGACTACAACAAAGTGTTTAAACATAACAAAAACTGAAGATTGCTCAGGACTGGGCAGTGTTTCCTATATGATACACAAGGCCTCTATGAGGTGGACTGACTTGATGGCCCACAACAATAACAACAGATATCCAGGAAAATGCTAGATAGATTTAAACTTAAAAATGAAAAATATTAACTACTCATTTATTATTTAACACATGGATTATAAATTTATCTTAATTTATACTTACATATTTATATGCTATTATCCATTTATATATATACATATATATATATAAAGTATTCATTTTTGTTTCCTCATAGAAATAAGTGATTAAAGTTATATTTATGGTAAAAACCAATGTACCAATAGTACTTTAGAATTCCCTTTCTTCTTTATATAATGATGTCATGCCCTTATTTTCAATTACCACTCTGTCACTATTTAAATTTCTTTCAAATCAACCCTATATAACGAAGACATAATACTTTTGACCTCCCAGCTGAGGTTTAGGCTTTTGAGTAGTGTCTGTTGTATGCCATGACATGTAGGTCTTCTATATGTAGTTAATTAATGAACCAACTTGTCACAGTTCTAACCCATGAAACTTACCCACTTAATACAAGACAAAATCTTTGAGAGACCAGGGACTTTGAGTCTCATGGCGTCATCTTAGTATTCTTCCATATGTTATTCTAATACAATCACCACTCATTAGTCAGCTCTGTATGAAGAACATCAAGCTCAATGATTCAAATGAGAAGCAAGTTGCAGCACATGTTTGACAACTTTGAAAGCATGAAAATTAACATTATTTGAAATCTAGTTTAAGAAATTGTCCTGAA